TAACCTGGGCGACAATCAAACCTTTTACCAAGTGAATGTTGAATCTTGTATGAGGGATTTTTCCCTTCATTTAGCTTTTATTTCCACTTTCATGAACTTACGTCAACAAAATTGACGTAAGTGCTTCCAGAAATGAAGCCAACCATAAAAATTTAAGGAAGCGTATGAGGCGTGACATTAAATCTAATATACAGTTATCAACATTTCTCTGAACAAAATGACAAAGAGCTTTTATTAAAAAAGATCTTAGAGCAGGTTCTGTAGAGTGATGGAAGCTTCCGCAGATAAAGTTGGTCAGATACTTCCTGTTTTTTCTCCGTAAACTGCTGGAAAATATGCCTTATGGACGGTCTTGTAATTGACTTTCTGGCTGATGGTGTGTGAGTTTTTATAAAATGAGTTCCATTCCTAGTATTGTGGGACTTTCCCACTAGCCAAGCGAATTGCAGAGTTAGTTTTCACCCTTGTTGTTCATACGCCGAAGTCGTTCGAATTCTCTTAACGCTTATTTCCCCGATTTGTGTTTGGAAGGGCAAAACCTATCGTCACAGCTGATAACAGTTTAATTACGGTTCCTTTTGATCCCATACTCATAAACACTCCCAAACACCTATTTTCTGCATATGAAGGCTATTGATCTTGCTTAAACTTAATTAAATTGATCTTTTCAGTATAAATAGAAACACTCTGTAAGCTAGGATATAATCAGTTTTAGCTTTGGTCAAGCTTTTCATTGTTGCACACAATAAGATTAAACAAAGTTCAACTGCCAAGTCCTGTTTGTCCATTCCTTCACAATCTGTACCCCAACATAAGGTTCGTCAGAACGTTTCCCGGCGATTAACGCCAAAGGCATTTCTTAACTTTGTATAGGGAGTTCTATCTGGTGTAACTGCAGCTAATGTATTAAATGATTACCTCAGTTCCGGCCAGTAAATTCTCGAGTAATCTTGATGGTTTGCAAGAGGGTGCAGCAGACAGTCCTTGATTCGTGACGAAGAAAGGGTCTATGAGGAAATAATAGATGTAGATTAAGAACCAAATGTATCTCTCAGGTAATTCTAGTGTAACTTGAGCTAATACAGTGCCTACCTTGGTGTATAAATTGCCGAGTCCTTTTGATATATAGTATAGTTCGCTTGATTTGTCACGACGAAATAGTCAACGAGGAAATCATATTTTGCAAAACAACTTCATGCATAAAGGTCAATTGAACATTCCTTCACAAAATAAGAGGACCTGCACAAAACTAACCTGGGCGACAATCAAACCTTTTACCAAGTGAATGTTGAATCTTGTATGAGGGATTTTTCCCTTCATTTAGCTTTTAGTTCCACTTTCATGAACTTACGTCAACAAAATTGACGTAAGTGCTTCCAGAAATGGAACCAACCATGAAAATTTAATGAAGCGTATGAGCATGACATTAAATCTAATTTACAGTTATCAACATTTCTCGAAAAAATGACGAAGAGCTTTAGAAGCTTTTGGAAAAGATCTTACAACAGGTTAATTCTGTAGACTGATGGAAGCTTCCGCAGATGAAGTTGCTAGGATACTTCCTGTTTTTTCACCGAAAACTGCTGGAAAAATATGCCTTGTGGATGGTCTTGTGATTGACCTTCTGACGAGGCTCATTTTTTAGCTATAAATAGCTCATATGTCAGTGGTTTGAGCGTATGTGCCTGGTATGTATCTTTGTGGATTTGTATGTTCGGATATTTTTTGCGGGGGCCAATAAGGTTGAAGCTACTATGAGTTGATGTATAGGATCCAATGAGATTTTGGCATCTATTAATCGTTAATGACATTTTGTTACGGCTAAAGGTGTTAATAAACATAACATTGAAATATCTTCATGATTCAAACGCTGAGTACAGTGATACAGCTGTTGACGGGTCCATATTTTAGTGTGGGTGCTGCTTCAAGACATTTGACCTAATTCGGCTATCTCGAACGGTACAACGTACGTATTTCATAATTTATGAGTTCTGTTTCACCTGCTTCAAGGCATAGTATAAAAGATCATATATTTTTTAAAGTTCTTCCAATGAAACAATAATTGAAATTTAGATATGGACTTTAATTCGGAAGTTTGCGGCCTATTAATTTTTGTTTTAGAAGTTTGAAAGGCAAGGCGAGTATTTTTAATACTGTAAACAAGCTTTACTCTCTCGCTTACAAGTTCAACAGACCTTTTTAGTACCGGCAAAAAAAAACATGAATTAGGTGAGGAACATGATACATGCTTGCTGCTTAAGAGTTAATATAGTTATGGAAACGTATTTTATTGCCAACGAGGCAACCGAGCTAAGAAGCGAGGCTGACTCGGCGGCAGAATTATAACGCCGCGCAATGTAGGCCAATACTCTCAAATTCTGCGTAACCCTCTAAAATTTACATTTTTGACCATATTTGGGTGTAAGTAAGACCCCGTATTTGGGTAGTGACGTCATGGTCTTGTATTTACAACTCGTGGTCGGAAATTGGGTGATTCAGCGTGCAGCTGTAAATAAATGTTAGGCTATCCACTTTAACGTTGCATGAAGCATAATTTAATTGCAGATACATGTATTGTAAAGCCAAGGTGATTTTTTAAAAAAGTTTGAGCAAATTTTGTAGTAAACCAGTAGGAACTGTAAAAGGGACAAAGACCAACACTTTCACGTGCAAATTGTGTGCATGAGTTATTTTTATAATCCTGTTTACTGGAGTTGTTTACCATTTGCCACAAATTCCCGGAAATTTAGGTTGGGATGTAAATGGTAAACGTTGTTTTGGTTCGTCCCACTGGAAAATTCCTGGGACAAACGGAAATTCTGAAAAGGTAGTCCCGTTTTCCCGATTGGGACGATCCGAATGGAAATTCGTTTACCATTTACAAGTTTCTTGAGTTTGGTACTGGTTTCATGTTGTAACTAGAATCCAGTCTAGCGCGGTGCCACGATCCGGAAATTTTAGGCAAATGGTAAACGACACGTGCCGTTCTTACCAACCGAAAATTCCCGGCTGAAATTTCCGGAACTTTTTTATAAATTGTAAACAACCCGAATTACTGTGTGATAACTCGAATTCCCTCACGTACGAGCCACGAAAGGGGCAAAGTTCAACATTTTCACGTGCAAACTGTGTGACTGTATATCTCATGCAGACCGGCTTCTCAAAGTAATAATAGTAACTTGAAGGTATCAAGAATTTAGTTTTATAACTAGTGCCTTAAAGTGCCCATCACCTAAATTTTTTTTATTTTCTTATCTGAAACTACAACTTGTTAAAATAACCTCTGCGAAAAAATTTTGCGATTTGAACCAGAGACGATTTTTTTACAAAAACGTTCAAATTTGCCGCCATTTTGGCACACCATTCGTCTTAGTCTTCCCTCGGAGGATGACGTTTACATGACGTACTTTAAGGAACACGTGACCTTATCGACAGGAAAACTTTAAGAGTTCTGATAGGTTTGTCTTTTTCAGAAAAACTTTCTTCTTGCAAAGACATTGTGATTCAATCCTTACTTGTAATTGATGTTTTTTGTGTACAGCCGGTGAAGGCAAGGTAATGCGAGTTCCTTAATTTACGTCATATGTGAGCCTGCTAGTTTGCATGATCAGCGGCGCGGGTGTACCGCAAAAATGTAGACTTCAAAAGTGGTAAAAAAATCGCGTTTTGTTCAAACCGGAAAATTTTTTCGCAGAAGTTATTTTAATTAAGGTATAGTTTCAGATAGGAAAATATAAAATTTTAGGTGATGGGCACTTTAAGCCTGAAGGCTCTTTTCTTTTAAGAATAAATAACTTATAACACTTTTAGAAGCAAGTCGTCAGAGTTAAAGACTGTTTTATTATGTAGAATCGCACGTGAAAACCTCGTGAGTAATAATGATGTAACCATCCACAACGATGATGAAAATCGTGACATTTCTTAGCTATTCGGTATTCAATGATCTTCATTATTATATCTTAAGAAACCATGAAGAAACCTTGAAACCTTCGAGCCTTCCCGCTAAGCAACGTTTGGTGAGTTGATATTCATAGGACTTAAACAATTTGTTTATTTTGCTAGGAAAGACAAAGAAAAGTTAATCTATAGCATGAGGATCGACTCGGCTGTGCGCAGCGGTTCGCGTTCTCATTAATGTACAGCAATACCTAATTTCGCACAAAACATAGTCTTAGTTTAGGATTAAAACAGTAGATTGTTGATACGGCTACACTGAAGCATTCAAAATAGCTCATGCACGTTTAACTTGCCTATGTTTTTCTCGGATGGCTTTTTTCTGGGAAGTCGTAGTGGGGGTGCACCGTCCGGCTCTCCGAATCTTTACACTATTTCAGAGCAATATCTAGGGTGATGGCGTGAAACACGTGTTATCTCTTTTATAGTCTTATTTGCATAATACCCATGGTGTTAATTACCAATGCAAATCGCGTTTGCATTGCGGTCAACACTCGAGGGTAGCAGTACACCGTCACCCTCTGACGTCATAGATTCTGCTGCACGGTGTTGCCCGCTCGGGGAATTTTGGCGGGAAACAGTCCTATTGTTGGGTGCCATGTAACGTCGAGGAAACCAATGAGAGCACTTTTGGGGAAAAAATCCAGCTCAGAGCTGTGTAACAATTTTTGTAGTTATCGTGTGCGATATCTTCATTTGCTTCGAATATTTTATAAGCAAACACTGACCCTACACGTTCAAATTTTAGATCCTGGGCCATTCAGAAACATGGGAGATCATTAAAAAACTTTAAAAGAAAGTGAACTGCTTATAAAAGTGGTTTTGCTTGCGTTGTTTATTATTTTGTTCAAGTCCCTTAAATGGTGAAGAATTGCAGGATTTTGGCGGAAGGTCAGTGTCAATTAATTTTAAACCTCTGCTCATAATCGTCCCCAAAAATGCTTGATTTAAAAAAAACGAACTCTTTGGATAGTGTTGGGATCCTCAATCTTTTCTTACAGGCCCTTAATTCCCTTAGCACGTTGAAATGATTGAATATTATTTAAAAAGAAACAAACAAATGGCTGGAGACCTCAGTCGAGTCATTTTGTACTCAAGTTTTAATTCTTGTTTTTTACAGTTACAAAAAAATCAAACTCTTTGTTTCTTGAAAAACTTGTTTTTCCCAAGAAATCTCGGTTAGTGTTACAATATCTTAAGCGACTTATATGCTTTTGATACTCTTGAGTATGACAACTTTTAAAAGGACTATATTGCTGTCCTAAAGTTAGGGTTGAGATCCTCCAAAAAAAGTTATAAGTCTACTATTCGGTTAAGATTTGATAGATGTGATTAATAAATAATATACGACTATTTACAGTTCAAATTACGTAGAATATTTGAAAGTATAACTTTAAAAAAGACGACGGATGTAGAAAACATGTTTTCTCCCTTTTTCTCCTATTGAGAAAGAAGGAAAACTGTAGTTTTTCGTTTCTGAAGTAAAATTTTTGAGTTGTTGTCCTTCCAGATTTTTTATTATTTTATTCAATGGTGGGAACGTTTATATAAAACCCCTTTGATTATTGTATACCAGAACAAAATATGTAAACTTATGCCTCGCTTTCATCGACCGTTTTCTGTGAAAAGGATGATCAGTGCGTTTTGTCTTGAGCACTGCCACCTGACTCTTTCACTAACCAATCAGAACAGGTGTCCTGTATTTTCAACCAATCAGGAGCAAAATGAAAACCGGAGTACGCTTGGTTTTCCTGCCCTTTTTAAGAACTGAGCGTTAAGTTCTTAGCCCTTAAATCAACGGAAAGGAAAAGTGCATCTGACGATCCTTTTAATCAATAAATTAGTTCGTCTAGAAAATCTGCTCTGTGCGTCGCCTTTTTTTTACAATTCCAGCGAAGGCTTAAATGTCAAATATAAAATTTACCTAACTTGTCTATCTATATTGTGAATGAAACTTCGATTTCGTATGGATTGCAAAATTCCAGTTCTTTGCCAAGTGCTGTTGCTACATATCTTGCAGAACTATGAAAACTAACGTTTACTACAGTGATCTATTACTTCTTTTGTTCGCGCTTGCTTGTTATCTCGTCTTATGAATTTAAACGTTTATCTTCGGTTCCCCGATATTATAAAATACGCAAATTAAGGCTGGTCGTCACCAGCGATTGAATCGGAGTCGTTATCGTTATTAGAAGTGTAGAGCATTATGATCTAGTGAAAACAGCGTTTCTATGTGGCTTATGACTCCGTCGCTTATGCTGTAGTGAAACTATAGGTTCTCGGAGTCGCAAGGAGAAGCAGAAGAACGAAATCGGCTACAAAAAGTGCAAAAGTGATTTTTTTTTTCGCTCCTGCTTCCGATGCCGACAAAGTAGTTTTCACTAGGTTGCAAGCGATAGAGTGGTAATCGATGACAAAAATAGTCCGCAATTTGGCCTTAGTTTTTGAGGTCCCTAAAAAGAATCACGTTTGCTCGTGTAACACATGTGATCACCACGCCATTAGCATTGACTGTCCTCGTGATAAACTCAGTTCGATGGTTTTGCACAGTTTCAGCTTTCATCTAGGATTTTTGCTGATTACTTTATATATCTCTAACAAAGAAAGGAGATTTCTTCCACTTTATTCCAGTGTTCCTATAAAGCACGTCTACCATGGTGGTACCTTTAGTCGGTAAATTGAGCCTGTCCTTCAACTGGTACAAGGCGGTGTCTGTGTTTTCGTACCAGAACCGATCTCCGTCTCGCAAAACACGATACTGAAGAGCGATGATGCGAGCGAAGGTTTCCCCGACACATCCCCCATCAACATGTGGCTCGGCGAGACCGCCGATCCATAGGTCAACATCATCAACGCTCGAGTATACGCTTTGGAGCTTCTCTTGCATCATCTTGTCAGGAGTTATTTCAGCGAATGATTTGCGTTTGGGCAAGCCTACTCCTTCCCGCACGGTGTTATAATCCGGCAGACCGTGGTCTCTGCCTCTTTGGATGTTAATGGCAACCAAGTCGAGCCCCATCGTGTTAGTTCCAAACAGAAAGTTACGCACTGAGTCCGAAAACTTCAGATCAACTTCCTGGGCCTTCTGTACCATCATACCTCTGATCAGCGGCTCTATGCCTCCCTCACGAATCACGCGGCCTGGGCTGAAGTATGCGTCACGCAAGGACAAATGTCCGTTACCGATCATGGTCCAGTTCTCGTCCAATCGTGGCATGATATTACCCACTTGACTATGGCCAAACCTGAACGCCGCTGTCCCAAATTCGTTAAAGATGCCGACCTCGATAGATGAGTTGTAGCCCTTATATTCCCCGAGCTTCTCATATTCCGCCCGCCCGATAACTGTGGGCAAGAACTCGTTCCAGACTATCCTCTGCCATTTAGCACGGGCCAAAGTCCGCGCGTGGTTGAACAATGTCTCGTCGTCCATGTTCTCGTTTCCAGGCTGCTGCAGGAGCTCGTCACAGATGCGGTTGTGTTCACGTGACCACAGGGTGTGCAGAGCAATGAGGCCAGGTTGCACGTTGACTCGGTTGTCACCTGACACCAGCATTTTGTCACGTGGTCCGTTGAGGAGGTTAAGGTTGGTGACCTCTTTGGTGTTGAAGTCAAGGATGTCGCTTGACTGGTGTTTCAGTTTGCCTTTTTCCATGGTTCGTAAAGCCAAGGCTCGACATTCATCACAACCGTATACCAATGACAAATCAATAAAGGCTGTCACCTTGTTCACCTAAGAAACAAAAAACCTTCTAGTTAGCGTAAGAAACTTAACAGCAGTTACGTCACGCATTCGCTCAGCCATATCGCCCGGGCAGTGGCAGCCATCAACAGCTCTTTTCGCCTTTATTGGGGCTCATCAGCGTGGCATAGACGTTAGACCTCCTAACGGTCAAACCCCGTTTGTAGTTAGGGTAGTTTACCATTCACTGTAAATCCATGCTAGCTGTGATCTACGTCCGTTTACTTCTATGGGTGTTTTAGTTTACCTTGTGATTCCATGAAAAATCCTGGGTTTTTTTTTCAGCCAATCAGAACTAAGAACAAAACACTTAACCAATCATGACTTGCCCATTTGCCCCTTTCTTGCTGCTTTAAGCTCCGCTACGTGGACTTGCTTCGTAATGTAATTGGTACACTGGTTATCATTTTTTTTGCTTTGTGATTTGCCAGAGCTGTGACTGTGGTATTCGTTTAAGCGGGCTCAAGTTGAGCTCTTCACTTTGCTTTAATTGTGTTCTTCTGCTTAACTTAAGTGTTTTATTTAACCAGTTACGTGGTTTCTTACCCTTTCTACGTGTTGGTAGACCTAAAACGAGTAGCCCAAGTCCTTAGAGAAAATAACGCGACCCTGTATATTATTTGACAAAAAAGGTCATTTTGTAGTAAGAATTACCTGTTCGCGTGGTCTTCCGTGGAGTTTTCCGCTGGTCTGAATGATTCCAGATCGTCTGAATCGCATGATTTCTTTACCCGAGCCGTGCGGGTCAAACCACGGGTCTCCCTCCGGAATAGGGATACCTAGGTTATCAGTGGTAAGGAAATTTGCGTACGGTGTTGCAAAGTCCGTATCATGGGCCAACATTTGGCCGAAGTGCATGTGGAAGTCGTTCAAGCCGACTTTGCTGAAGACATCCATTCGCTGATCACAAACAACATTGGAAATAAGCCGTGGACTTGATCTGTTGGATCCTGCGGGCGCGTCAAAGCCATCATCGTATGCTGGAGGGAGCAGGCGCAGTAGAGGCATAAGTGGCTTGCCCCACTCAGGGTGGAGGGGGTTGTTGTTAACGGCATCCAAGCGCGCAAACTTCTCTGATAACTGTTCAGGGGAAGGCAGGGGTCTGTCGACTTTGTTGACCTGAAATGCATATTTGAAATACATTTAATTCATTGAATGTACTTTATGCAATGTGCTTTTGTTGCGAATAGGCAGCCGAGGATATGTGCAACCCCTTTCTAACCCATCCCCTTAGAAAATATATCTATGTGGCTTTTATGTGTAGACACGCCCTCCATGGAAACCAGCTGAGTGTTGTTGGGGCTAGCTTGTTTCTCCTTTGACCTGAAATTTTTAAATATATTAATTATTGCTTACCTACCTACCTAACATTAATTTTTATTTTTAAGGATTCATTCACGCCTTCCATGGCCGTTTCCTGCTCTTTATCCAGCGAAAGGATATCGGATAGAGAGTTTAAATAATTAAACCTACTTTATTCTCCCTTTGTGAATCATTAAGTGAACTGGAATTGGAGAAGACAACTTTCATAATTTTTCATACCTTAATGTTGACAGTAGCAATAGCTGAACTCACTCCGTCGCCCACAGCATAATTGAAGCTGTCTTCACCGTGAAAATCTGCATCAGGATAATAACTCACGTGCTTGGGTCCTACCACCACGTGACCATGCGCTGGAGCCCTGGTCACCTCCTTCACTAGCAACCGGGAGCAGCTTGGAACTGACTCGCTTGGAGACTTGGTCTCTTCAACAGCACTCCTATGTCCCCAAATGTCCCGAACTGTTATTGATGATCGCCGAGGCACATTGTAAATGATTCGAGTGTTGTTGGTTACTGGCCAGTAGACACGGACTCGGAAAGTATCTTCGGTTTCCGAACCCAACCCGAAGTGCGCCACGTACTCACCCTGTGCCGAGAACCCGGTTGCGCTTCCAACTGCCCGTATGATTTCTTTCTCCAGGCGCGGCGAATACAGAAAGACAAGAGCTCCAACGCTTTCTCTGTCGCAGTTGGCTTCAAGAACTTTCACTCGAACATAGTCGTTTTTGTTTTTGCCGATGTTGCGATACAACACAGGACGGTTAGCATTATTGGCGATGAAAACATCCAAGTCGCCATCTTCCTCATAGTCGAAGATGATAACGCCGCGACCGTCAAACACGTCGGTGATGCCTTTGTTAAACCCTGTTTCCTCAAATCGAGCTGTACCGTTATCGTCCTCGAAAAACATGTTGTCATAGAGACGCGTGGGAGTGTGGTGCAGGAAATCAGTGTCAGTAACATCCGGGTCATCAAAACCGTTGGTGTGAACTAGATCCAGGTCTCCATCGTTGTCGTAGTCGAATAACGCTGCTCCCCAGGCCCAATTACCGAACCTTACCCCGGCCGAGTCGGTCTGATCTGAAAATTTACGACCACCTTCATTCCTGTGAAAGCAATAACCTTGTTTCAGTGGAATTCATCGCTTTAGATAGGGTACAACTGATAACTAATGTACACAACTTAATTAAGCCCCAGTATCCACATACAAATTCTCCAAACTGATCTCCATACATTTCTTTATGGAATTAGTTGAGAGAATTTAATAAAACATCAAGGCATTTTCTCTTTCGTGATCATTTTTTATATTCTTACAACCTTATCTCTTGACAATGTATGGACATTGTTAGGAGAAAATTGCTGTTGGTCACTATTGGGACTTGAAGGGTTAATGACTCTTACGAAATGCTAGGGGTTATTTTCTCTCTTCTTAATGACCGACTATCTTTTCTAAACGCAGTTGATTGGAATTTTTTGTTAGAATTTTGCCTGATAAACCAATATGACGCTGGTTTTACAGAATTGATCGATTCTTACTTTGATACGGTAACTTTTCTTGGAGAAACACACTGTTTACAGACATGTTTTTGTACTGTAATAAGTCGACCACCGGAAAAAAACCGTTGACGTCATCGTCAGTATGGTTTTTCCATATCTCTGTTCATTGTCGTAACTGTTTAGTTTAGTAGGTCGTAGTGTGTTGATTTAAGAGCATTCTTAATTGATTGTTACTCTGTGAAAGGATTGACTAAACAGCTTTCGCGCTATTTTGTTAATCAATCAGAGTTCACCCATTCACACGCCTTTACCCGCACTTAAAGACCCTTCTTATGTTTGCCTTGTGTTGTGAGTGGCTAGTAGGATTGTTTGTGACTGTTGTGATTGGTCGGCGCAACTACAAACCTGAAAAGCCTGTTCCCAGTATTGCCAAATATGAATCCCCCGCCGAGGTACACTTCCCTGAATGGCTCCATCTGTTCCTGTGACATGTAAATGCTGCCCACAAACCAGTCCAACCGCCCGTCCAGGTCATAATCACCCACAGTCGAACCCATACCATTTTCGTCCGTTCCCACGCCGCTTTCCTCAGTCCCCTCTGTAAAGGTGCCATCTCCATTGTTCCAGTAAATAGCGCTTGTTCTGAAGTCTCCTGCAACTATTATGTCTTGGTAACCTGTTGAGACAATAAATAATATCTTTTAGGGGTAAAAAAAAAGCTTGAGCTGAGTACCGATTGTTCTCCGGCAGTGGTGTTTAACTTCAATTTTCCCACTAGCATCCTCTGCTCTTTCACATGGTAGTTTCTCCCGCACCCCACCCATCCAGTCAAACTGTTCAGCACTTAGGAGGGTTGAAACGGAAAGTCTTTACACAGATTATCAACGGCACTTTTGCGTTATTGTTTTTCCCTGCCGTTAGAATCGATAAGTTGGCTTTTGAGACCAATTTGATAAACCGAAGTCGAAAGGAATAAAAACGATTTAACGAAAACACGTAAAAGGAATCAATTAGGTCAGGACGTTGACAAACAACAATTTCGTAGCCATGCATAGAGTGCCAAGAATATTTTATGGTGACTAAATTTTAACTTTGCAATTAGTGAAAACAAATCAAGCGCCATTCAGAAGCTCTGCCCTAAAGGGCTATAGCATTTAATATCCGTATCCTCCAGGGGCGGATCTAGGGGGAGGGTGCAGGGGGTGCGCACCCCCCCCCCCCTTCCCTGCGATGACCTGCGGTTTTCTAATACAACTGGTATTCTGCAAAAAACAAAACTGTGGTTTATTGGTGTTGAAGTAGAGCAAGAGACGAGTGCACCCCCTCCTAAAAAAAATCCTGGATCCGCCTCTGTCCTCTCATTGAGAACTTGCCTTTTCTTCTTACCCCTGAGGATTAAATAAAATTGCATTCACCCCTGAAGACTTCCATCAAATATGCGTCTATCCCAGAAGAATATAGGTCTACCACCTGAAGAATATGGGTCTACCCCGGAAAAATTTCCTGTAAATTAAAGCTTCACCTCTAAAGAATTTCCATTTTTTTCACTCTTCCCCCTAAAGAAATTCTCAATTTCTATCACCTAACCCTGAAGAACTCCGTTAGTCCTCAACCGAGGGGCGGGGGCGAGGGAACGGGTATTAAATAATGGTTCCATTTTATATATCCGTACAATTGACTCTAAAAGTTAAAGACTCCCCGAATCGCTTACCATCGTTGTCCAAATCAGTGAACATGGCAGCCAACTTAAAGGGTCCTGGAATGATATCCTTGAGCAAGCCTGTGTTCATTACACCATAATACCTCACATCAACTCCACCAAACTTGTCCGCCGCCACGGTTGGTTCCTTGGTCTTCCCCAGTCCAGCGCGTGCAGTTACATCTTCGAAGTGTCCCGGCTTTCCTTGCGCGCCCAGGTTTCTAAGAAGGCGGGAAAGTGAGTGCGAGGCGTTGTTGTAGTCGAAGCTGAGATCAAGATGAGGTAACCATTCGGTGGTGTAAAGATCCAGCCATCCGTCTTTGTCATAGTCCCCAACGGCAATGGTCATGGTACTTGTTTTATAGGGTGCTATCGTAGGATGTAGTGCAAGGCCCCTCTCTTCGGCTTCCTCTGTATAATGGCCCATGCCATCGTTTACGTACAGATAAAATCTGCTCTCGGCCATAGTACCTATATACAAGTCCAAATCACCGTCGTTGTCGATGTCTACCCACGCAACTGCTGATGAGCGGTGAAAAGCGGTAGAGCTCAAATTTGCCTCGGCGGTGAAGTCTTTGAAAGTCCCGTTACCAAGGTTACGCCATAGCTGATCAGGGCCATCTGCACGAGCGTAGTAAATATCTGTGAGCCCGTCACCGTCGTAGTCAGCGGTTGCTGCCGCGCCCGAGCTGAGCTCCACAATACAGAATGATCCGGGAATCCAGATTTTCAGGTTTGGATCATACTGATCAAACAGGCATTCTGGAGCCTTAGGTGGTTTCTGTTGGATCGCTGTCATGCCAAGCTTTTCAGCTATGTCTTCAAACCTCACCTGTAATATGGTAAAAGTAAACAGTGGCTTATGTAAATGTCCTGCTTAAAATACATGAGGTCGAAAAAAAAAAAAGGTTGTACATGAATGGGCCCCTTTTTGGCTCGTCAAAGACCTTTAGCGATTCCAGAACGAGATTTCACTTTAATTGTTTATTTATATATTTTTTTGAGTATTCTCAAAGAATTGTCATCCCTGAAAGCTTCCTAGTACGTTTTTTCACTAGGAAAGTTAGCAAGGTTATTTGTCATGAAGGAGGTTACGCCCTCTCCCGAGCACAAAATGATAAAACCTCTAACATTTAATAACTTGTTCCCACTACTACCACATTCTCGCTGAAACCCATTGTAGAGTGACGACGGCTATCACGTTTTCCCGCCAAAATGACGCTGGTTCACCCGTGTGCACTACTTAGTATTGAGAATATCTCGTCCTCGTAGTTTTCCTTGTCTTAGAATCTAAAGGTCTCTATTACTAGAGAGAGAACACTAACAGGGGTCCCCATTACGTTGGACGTGTTTTTCACTCAATATATACTTTTGTTAAATAGCTGAAATTTTTTTCCCAACAGCGCTCGCTCTCATTGGTTAATTCCAGGTCACATGACATCTAACAATGAAACTGTTTCCCACCAAAATCTCTGAGCGGGCAACATTGCAAAATCTATGACGTCAGAGGGTAACAGTGCACTGTGACACGTGAATGTTGACCGACAACCGCCGTTACAGCGAGGTTCAATGAAATTTCCAGCTACATAACAAATCACTGGTCCCTCGGGAAACAGTTAATTTTGTTTCCCTCGGCTCCGCCTCGGGAAACATTGAGATTCTCGTTAAACAAAGTTAACTGTTTCCCTCGGGAACAGTTATTAAGTGTTTAGTGTCCTCCTGGATGCTGACAGAGAGTATTTCAAAGACTTTAAGTTAAGCTGAAGTATCACCAAAATATCCCATGTAGACCGGAGTTATTCCTAAGTTAACCCCCAATTCTGCCGACAACATCACAGGGAATATATGAAAGCAGTTATATCATTGGAAATGTTTTCTGACCTAAACTTTGCTGGATATACTACAAAGAAAAAGGATAGCACCACTAAATGTGCAACAAAATCAATAAAAATCAATAATTACCTGATTTCCCTCAGAGAAGGGCTTCTCCTCTGTGTCTATACAAACCGCTGACCTATCTTTACTGTAATCATTCTTCAACACTGGGATATGCACGTGACCATCATCAGCTGACATGGTGATTTCATCGGAATGCGCCATAATGACATCAGGCTTCGGTCGGACCACGATCCGACCTTGGAGCTTACCATCGGTTGTTGTCGTAAGGTTTTCGTAGAGGTACGAATACATGAAAACGTCCTCACCCGAGAAATCCTGATTTGGTACGTACGTCGCTTGGGCATCACACATTTCGTTTTGAATGTTAAGGTTCCCATCTGGCGCGCAGGCAAATGCTCCATGTTTAGGTTGTTCATCAATTATAACCTTATGAGCGAGCTTGTCTGAAGCTTTGTAGTATTTTAAAAAGTCGAACGTGACAGGCTCGTCCTCATCGGTGGTGATGGTAAAAGAGTCGTCCAAACCTAGAAAAGTAGTGATTAAATTGTTTAAACTCTAAACAAAAACAGCCGCACCCCAAACCTAATTTATCACCACAGATAAATTACAATACAACACCAAACTGAATAAAGGTTTACCAGCCATGCCTCTGTGATTGAATTCCCGTACTTTCAATCTCAAACTCACATTTAAAACCATCTTGTTAAACAACGAATCACGTTAATGTGTGGTACCACAGGAAAGTACTCCTCAGTAGCTTTCGTTTAAATGATCACAATTTAGTATTTCGTCCACAGACTCAAAAGTTAGAACCACCTTGTACAGCATAAGAAACAGTACCACAGGAAAGCACTGCTTAGTAGCTTTCATTTGAATGGTCACACTGCAGGATTTCATCCACAGACTCAAAAGTTAGAACCACCTTGTACAGGATAAGAAAAAGTACCACAGGAAAATAATACTTGGTAGCGTTCACCTAAGAGTCACACTTTAGGATTTCATCCAAAAAATAATAAAGTAGAACCACCTCACTTTAAACAGCCTAAGAAACAGTACAAAAGGAAAATACTACTTAGTATATAACCCCCATTTGAATGGTCCAACTATAGGATTTCATCGACATACTCTTAACTTTGAACAGTTTTTGAACTGCCTTGTACAACGCAGGAAAGGCAACAATTTAGTTTTTAGCGTGAGACTAATGGAAAAAACTCCTTTAGCAGTGGTCTTGTTGGTTTTTATAGACATTTTCCCCTCCTCTTGAATTGTTACTGACTTGGCAGCTTCTTAAGGTGAGACAACGTTAAACTTATCCAATTTGTATTACCAACACGCGGCAAGTTGAAGATAACTCTAAAAATGGATTCTATCAATATTAATATTTGATAACCTTGGAAGCTTTATGCAGGCATTGCAGGGACGATTTCTTATTGCTTTCGTCAGCTCATCGGCTCAATATGACAGGAAATGTTTTGCGCGCACTAACAAACGAATGAAGAAGTCACAGGCAACCCAACCTCGGGATTTGAGCTCTTAGTAAAACAATACTTAGACTTTTTTTAAGTCTCTTGTGGTTGGGTCATCGATACGTTCGTTGCTGAATAATCTTTGAAAAAGCTCTCTAGTGAGGGATAGGGTGAAGAGAAGTCGAAAAAGTAGCATACGTACAATTTATAAGGTTGTATGAAAGTTCACTATTGTTCTCAAAAAGGCTGAAATATAGGCATCGATATGGAACTTGCATAAGCTTAACTTACTTTAGCGCGGGTTTTCTTTGGCTATTCTACACGTTTTGTCGCTCGCTGTTTGGGAAAACAGCAATGAACCAAAGAGGTTCTGAGAATCATACAGTAAATTTTCCCACACAAATCTAATTATCCGCACTTTATGCAACGTTACCCGAGCATGCGGTATTGTGCTCTTTGGCGTTCTAATACCGAGCATGGGCTACCTGCAGAGAAGGCCATTTGAAGCGGAGACAGTTAAAGTAACTGCTTTTTGCTATTGTAATTCTTTGAAACCTTCTTCATTTTTTTACTAAAGATAAACAAATTACAATATGCATGCGTTTGCCTCTTTTGCTTTCGGAAGCCAACATCACAAAATCATCCGCGGCCAATAGGGGACATCACTTTCAAGTTCAATGGTTAAAAAAAGCGTAATCGTATTGGGCGATGTATCACTGATTGAAGAAAGATGCTGAGATTTACTTTGTCTGCAAATGTGCGATAAGGACGAAGGTCAATATGGAATAGAAAAATTATTGTGTAAAATTCATAGGGTATTGGCCACTGGCTGAGAAACAGCTAACTGCTTTGCACATGAGAATTATCGGCAGGAGCCTAAAATGTGTGTTTAAATCGTTTTCATATGAAAAGTCACAGCGTGGGGATTTCATCCTTAGACTCCAACGCAAGAACCAGCTTGTGTAGCGTCATAAACAGCACTACAGTAACTTACAGCTCAGTAGCTTTTATTTGAATGGTTACACTACAGGATTTCATCCACAGACTCAAAAGTTAGAACCACCTTGTAGAGCATAATAAACAGTACCACGGGAAAGTACTGCTCAGTAGCTTTCATTTGAATGGTCACACTGTATGATTTCATCTATAAAATAGATAGTTAAAACAACCTTGTACAGCATATTAAGTAGTAATATCTTATTGCCTACTTTTGCGAACGAAATTTCTACCAGTTTAAACTTCAACGAACTTTTCAAGTCTTAATATTTCTCAGAAAGACTAAGTGAAATTTTAATAGAGCTCTTTCCTGTAGTACAATCTAAACCAAATCACCAAACGAGCATCAATAAGGCTCCGGAAGAGATCGCAAAATATCGCTACGTGATTGGATGAAACGAGCCATCTGCTTTCTGATTGGTTAGAAGACGCGCGAGCTGCACAAGTGTGCATTTTCACTATTCTTGGCTCTTTCCCAGTTGGTGGCGGACTGCACTTTCAGAGCGGAAATTCTAACAATTTAAGATAATCATTAATTACAACAATAATTACAAGATCTCTCAAGGGCGGAAATTAACAACAATAAGTTTCCCGCTCATTAGAAACCTCACAGCTTGAGAATATAACTGTAACAAGTGATCACGTTGGGTGCCAAGACATCAAAAAGGAAGTTCAGCGAGAAAAGCGACAAAACTATATAAGATGCTATTAATAGTTTGGAAGCGAAATCTTTTTTCCTGTTCTTAATATGTAAGTCTGCCTATCCTTAATGGATAAAAGCCTTAGTATGGATGAAATATTGGCCAACTGCGTTAATTCTTCAGATACTGTTCAACTTTTTTCGATCAAAAGATAACTCGAAATACTTAGTGGTGCTGACATGCTGTTGATAAATTCCTAATTTATTAGGGGTGCATTATCTAGGTAAAAAATTTCAGAACAAAGATCGTTTAGCGACTGGTATTTAAGATATCCGCTCTAACGACTGAAGTGACGTAACGGTGTGTTCGTTTCTGTTTATTTTTTGTTCTAAAGTCAATTATAGAGACCCACAATACAGATATAACTCTTCAATCTATGGACAAATACCTCATGTTGAATATAACTTTATTAGCAGTACTTTCACATGGTGCTGTTTGTTCGTAATTATCTTGTGTTTTTTCCTAAATGTGCATGTCAGTCAGTTATACCCCTTAGTATTGAGTCTTCGGACCTTGTACATTGATAGATTAGGGACCTTACGGTCCCACGAGGGTGACGCCAATGAAATCGTAGCTGAAAATAGAGTTCGCGTACTTTCAGACACTTTCGCAACTTTATTTCAAGTCTTATAGCAAGGAGCCCAAGTGTGTCCGCTTTTGGTTTATTCATATTCTTTCCTACAGATTTAATCCAATCAGAAGCCAGCTGGAAACTGTCCTCGACTTCTGAATGGTTAATGTCTGCTTGAAAGAACGTCATTTAATTAAAGGAGGTCACACCTTGGGTCTCCTTGCTGCACGTCCCACTTAAAAGAAGGAAATTTAGGTTGGAGCTAGCTGAAGAGAGGTGACCGCGTCCGATCTCAGACAAATGTAGTAAAATTTATCGCCTTGCCATTCCCGTTCTCAAGTCAACCTAGAATTTAGTCATTTTACGTCGTAGTTGTGCAAGGAGAGCGACGAAATTTACAAAAAAGCGTGCTGCGCGTGCTGCGCGTGCTGTTGCCGTTCCCGTTCCCGTTGTCGTCGCTGTCGCCGTCCTACTTTCATGAAGTCCGGCCTATAGAAACATGGACGACAACGGCGTTCCCGATCTTTTAAACGCTCTTATTCCAAATTCGCGCTCATTTCGTCGTACGTAGCCGAAATTTCTTGGTGTTGAATTATGAAGGGCTGAATTCTAAAAATAGGCTTCGTCCTCTAAACGTGACCGAAGCAAATTTTGATCAATTTAGGTTTCTAGGAAACTACCCACCTACTCCTCCCCTCTGCTAACATTAACAATTATTTCTCACTTAGGTCAAAATGATGGCCTAGGGGAGGGGTAGGTGGGCAGTTTCCCAGAAACCTAAATCCGCAAATTTCACGTTGTAGTACCAAAATGCAGAGTTGTTGTTTTCCTAATTCTTTTACGGTAAAGTGTTTTAACTTTTGAGTTATATTTTGACGAAAGATTTTTATCTCCCCGACGATGTTGTGTCTTCAGACTATTTGGGAAAAGGGAAAAACTTTGAGATAAATGTTCCCTATTTTAAATTTAGACTACTCATTTGATTTTCACACAGTGATTTAGCAACAAGTTGCCGGCTATTTTGCTCTCACAGATATTTTAACTTTTTCAAGCTAGTGTTTGCCACTGCCATGATATGACCAATATGAACTTTCGACGTAATTTCTTGTAGATTGAGCGTATAAAAATACAAACATAATATACTGTACACAATTTTTGCTTGTTTCAATTCAATCTTTTATATCTCAATACGGCAAGTTGAGTTCAGACCTTACCATATTAAGACATAAACTGCAACTGTTTTGGTTACAATTATACGCCCGTTTCCTGTTTACTAACCAAGCCACGTCTTAGCTACTACAACCTTTTTCCGCGGACTAAACCTCTGCTTCCCGACTTCCACAAATGGTCAACCACTTAACCTGCCATAGTCAATAAATTACATGTCATATTTTTTAATTAAAACTTCGCTGAATCAGAGCCAACAGTCGATAGAGACATACGTCGCTCACAACTTTGTCAGTTTTTGGTCTCTTAAGCTTTTCTGTTGACAAGATGCATTGAGAGTGTAGAGTTTTCCTCAAAAATTATTGTCAGCAAGGAATCTCAAAACGTCAAAAGGAATTTACAAATTCGGGAGTGCTTCGAAATTTTCAGATAAAGGGATAAAAATGTCGATCAATTTGTTTTAGCCTTCCTTTAGTAAAAGATCCTGTGGAATTGTGCTTATTCACATCCAGGTTGTCTGTTGTGTTGAAAAAACTAAGAACTCGCTGTGTTTTGTCATCGTAGTCGCAAATTTTAGGCCCGATACTGTTATTAAACTTCCTAGCTTACTCAAATTAGGCCGGCCACAAAAGGACGGCCACAATAACAGACCTTATTTTAGTCGCCATACCACCAGAACAGATAAATCGTACATGTATGGTCTTGGGTGTTTTTGAACGAATAAATAGTTGTTGATTATCATCCATTCTGCTTCTCAAGGAAATGCTCAAAACAGTTTCAGTGCGGGCGATTTTTGGACAATGTACCACTTTAGACTATTGTTGTGTAACCCGCTATTAAAGGCTAAAGCTTTGTTACGTATTTTGCGGTGAGGGATATTATTTTTGCTAACTCATATCAGCACCGTTGAGTAATATTTCATATTTCTTAGGCTCATTATGGCATCTTCCCTATATTGCGATGATCTTCAATTTCCTTTATGTTTTGTATTAAAAGTATACTTCACTCAGACGAAATTCAAAGTAATATAACGTTTTCAATGGAAAGCTCGGCAGCGCGAAGAAAAGTAATAATTGAATTATAAGTACTTCCCCTTTTACAGAACCGATGTTTTAGTTTCTTAAGGCGTAAGATATGTCTATCAAGATTAGCAGACAATGTGTCTCTACTTCTACTTGGAAAACTCTCAATAGAAGAGCAGATATTTTACGTTTGCAATTTCGCAAAGGCGCTCTTAGTCAAAATGACAAAAAAAAAACAGATTTGCTTTTTTTGTACTGAATCGAAAGCAAAGGTTCTCCAGAAAGGAATTCAACTGTTGTATTAAACAGTATAGATCTTCGTTCAGTTCGTCGTTCAGTTCGCACAGAATCAAAAGTAAAACCTATTTTTTGTCGTCACAATTGAGCGGACTGTCATCGAAGTAACTAAAAGCTTAAAAATATCAAAGGCTAAAATATTTAATTTGTTTTCGTCAATGCTTCACGTCCCTTCACTTAACTTTACTGAGAGAAAAATACTTTTGAAAACTAAGAACTGAAGAGGGTGTAATGGCTTTTTTGTTTGCAAACATTGAGTTTTTGAGTGGCCTCGTTTCGATTGAAATGACCTGTCCATTCAAAAGCGTGTCTGAAAGGTTCGAGAGACTGTCAAACCTATTCAGTTTTGTCTTGGGTTTTGTAGTAGGCTGTGTGAAATAAGTTATATCAGTTTAAAACAAATGAACGATGGCTAAACAACCAAATGTTCTCCGCTTCTCGAGTTTGAATTAACAAAACAAATTTTCCAGCTTTATATGTAATTATCGAAAGAGAGCAAATATTTGTAAGGGTAGGACTGGAGACCAAAACGCGAAAGTAAAATTAACTTAAGCGATTACTTAGTGCACTTTAAATAAGCGATTATTCGAGTAATCGGTACTTTTTACATATAACTTTAAAACAGTTAACCGGTGATTTTGTTTCCTTTTTGCGAAGTTCATAACATATGAGTACAACATTGCACACTGAACACCAGGCTAAGGAAATGTCGTATAGTTTTGTGGTTAAACAAACCGGCATAACTAGCCAGAAACCGGACTGAAATGTTCAGATCGTCCCAAGCCGCCATTATCAGGAATTTGCCCTAAAGGGGACAGGAAAAGAAGTTTTCATGTAGATCACTCTCTTGACTTTCTTTACAGAAGTTAGAAATCACCGCATTTCACAGTATATGTAACAAGTCAAACTTTGTACTTCAAGTTTTGCGAGTTTTCATTTTTGATGTCGACAAGGCTCTGTTTCTAAACAGTCTATCTTCTCTGTAGTTCTCTTACAATTACAGCATTCCGAAACTGTTACAAAAAGTTTTTAAGTTATTCTTATCAATTAACTAGGTTTCAATTCGTTTAATATCTTCTTCAATATCGAGTGGAGAGCTATATTTTGCTCAAGAAACCCAAGAAGCCAATACTACTTGGAATTTTTAGTTTATATCTTTGCTTTTGGTATATTGCTGGTCAAATATCTCTTAAAAGGGATTCAAATTCCTTTCATAATAAAAGATAATTTTAGCCCACATCTTATAATTCATCTGGCAATATTTCGCTTTTGCGGTGGAAAAGTAAATGGTCTTAATGTAAAAGTTAAATGCTCAGCTGCGATTACACAACTTTAGTTCATTCTGAACAATATATTTTGCATGCATTTATCTGCTCTGCTCGATATACTCCGCGTTTTGAAATTGGCCGTTTGATCTGTTGCTTCTGAAAATCACTGAAAACACTCCTCAGTTGAAAGTCAAGAAAAACAGAGGTGGACAGACTTTTATTTTCAGAAAATACAATTAGGAAAAGGAAGACATCTTTTGCTGTTTTAAAGAAAATATATATTGCTAGTTTCATAGCTCTTTAATATTGCACTTGATTGGTTTTTACGCCTTCGAATTACTTATTTATTTACTTTTAAAAAAGAACGTTTATAGCTGACTTTGATTCTAAGTTCTGGCTTGTTTGTCGACTTGAACATCACGCCAATTTGGATGCAAGAATCTTAAGGGATCGCACGCCCTTTAAACCGGTAAAATGTAGGCAAAACACACTCTTCGAACCCACATACCGGATATCACTATTCATTTTCGTGAAAGCATGGTGGTCCTCGTGCCGTTTTGAAAGCAGTCTTTTCCTGTCTCGGCTTCGTTTCCTTTCTATAATTCGGTAAGACTTAACGCCTGATTAAAGGGCAGAGATTAATAAGAAAATAGCATAAAGGTTATTTAAATTAAACGAGATTTAGAACTGGTATTAGCATACACAACCTTTCCATTCTATCACGGAATCTTCAGCTCAGATTAGCCAGATTAGCTAAGTAACGACAGCAAGTAATGCCTCGGCGAGATACTGTCAAAAGTCAACTAGTATACCATAGTAACACGCTTAGATCTTTTAAAATCTTTTGAAAGTTGTCGGTTTTTTTACAGTTGAAGTTTTCTTAAAGCAGAAATACCAAATCGGTTTACCGTAAGTTGCATACAGTTTTAGTGAGAATGGCGGTAAAAAAAAGTCCAGTCGCATTTTGAAGAAGCGAAAATTCCGGGCAAGAGGCTGTTTTGTAACACGCTTAGATCGTTGTAAAATCTTTGGAAAGTTTTTGGTTTTTGTTACAATCATTGTAGTTTCCTAAAGCAGAAATACCAAATCGGCTTACCGTAAGTTCCAGCTAGAATGGCGGCAATAATGACCAGTCGCATTTTGAAGAAGCGAAACATCCGATTCGAGAGCCGCGGCAAGAGGCTACTTCTTGGCAAGTCTGAGTTGCTCTTGTTTTTCGACAACGTATAAGCGTACGGCACCCGTGGTCAGCTTATCTGAAACAGTCCGTACTCGGCCTTATATATATGCCGGTTGGATGCGAAACAACTCCGCCCCCCGTTTCACCTGAGTTGACACGGCCATTCAAATTCGCGCCACTGGGCAGGCGTGTGAATGCCCAGGCGAAGAAATAGAATAAGAGCTGTAACTACTTTTCTTTTCTGTTTGCGTAGGTAGCACATCATTTACAAACACGGTTCATTTTTTTATATCAAACGTCTTTTTTCACAGTATCCTCTTTCTTAATTTATTGGTGTTTTGAATTGCGCTCTGCGTACTCTCTATAGTCGGTTCATTCCAGCGTGGGATAAAAAACGGTGTTTATTTCTATCTCCCTACCCCCCTCGTGCATCCGTTTGCACCGCCGATCACCACATGGTGCTAGATCTCTCTGCAGGCCTTCCTAATAATTGTGCAGTTAGGGCTTTTAAGTTTAGAGATTGTGTAATTCGGGCCGCCAATCTCGGTTGGCACCTTGACGTCTAAAAGAGCCCTAACCAACACTACCCAGCCATTTCCGATAGCACTTAGCTCAAAGCGACACAGCCTTGATCGTAAATCAGTGAAATGGCAGATGCTTTGAAAGTCATAGCCCCTTGGTCCCTCTATGACGCGATAAGGACTGTCTGTTCCGTCGAAACTCCACTCAAAATAGTCCATTGACGCGCGTCCTTTTTTCATGAGAATAACTTTGCGGCTATGATAACTTTTTTAGTTGTCTCGATCCAATTGTTTTTCTTTGTGCCCGCTGAATGCAAAATATTGGATTGTCTAAAACGCAGTGGATAGAACGGAATGTTTGAAATTGAGAGAGAGTTAATCTTGGTAATAAGTCGCTAGTTTGCTCGCGTATCGTAAATGTTTTAGGGATTTACTAGAGAGATTAGCGACTGATCGTTTGCCCCCCTAGAAGGGCTGTACTTAGCTTTTAGTTAGTTACTGAAAGCTTGCTAAATACCGGATATTGTTCAACAAGGTTTAATTCTCTCCAACGATGAATTGTCCAAATAGACAGCATTTTTAGCAGGAAACCATTGAGAACGCCCCCAATTACACAAAAACAGCAGTATGATACATGTTAAGCCCACGTTCTAACAAACAAACCAGAGGTTCGCTTTAACGTTTTGTAACATATCTCCCTCTCTGCTGCTCAAACCCGCTCCTTATTTAACAGACCATCCTATGCGTTTAGGTTTAGGAAAGCATAAATTAAGTCCGCTTTTAGACTTGTCGTCGCCGAACATTTCGAGTGTTTCTTTACCATTATGGACTTTGTTATTGCTTGATATTTACCCTCTCCTATGTGTTTTTTCCGCTTGTTCACTCCTTCTAATCGACATTTATCAATAAATCTGACGTTGTACATGTTTGGACATCACGTTAAAAATTAAGGAAAAATAACAAATAATGATTTGAGCTTTTGAACGCCTTATATTGCTCTGGAAAGCAGCCTCGCTAAACTTTCTCATGATTAATAATGTTTATGCTATCGTTACCCCATGTACGTATATCTTTCATTGTCAGAAGCTTTTCAGATGTAAAGTTTTTTGTCTCCTTTCAGTTTTTTTTATGCCTGAAGTTCATAAAGTCATTAAGAAGTTTTAGATTGCAATGCGGGAACCAGTTTCCGGTATACAGTTGGGTTTGTTTCTAAACAAAAAAATCTTATCTTGTATTTTCGGATAATCGCTCCATCCCGCAGTGATTGGAGCACAGTTATTTCCTGAATATCAGATGCGAGATGGCTTGACCCTTAAAACGAGAAGAAAATTTAAGCTATAGTTAACAATGAACGCATCTTTTGAGTGATAGCAATTAAAATTCAATTATGTAAATAATCAGTTTAGGAATCATAGTTCAGTGATTTTAAAGACGACATGGTCGTAAACTTTAGGGCCTACTGGCTGGAAGTTTGCTCTTTTATATTATTTGTTTTGTTCTTGCTGAGTTCCTCGAGTGGGCAGCGAATACAAAGAGTTTCTGACTTTGATCTAAAAATTGAACCTTTGAAAGACCTCGAGGTAACAAACTGTTTTCAAATTTTTTGCAACGCCCGTGGTTAACACCAAACTTAGTTCGGTTTACTGCGTTTAGCCAGCTTTTCTCTTCACAGTATTTTTGTTTTTTACACTATGAAGGAACTGCGAAAGAAGTCAGTTTGTAAGCCGCCCTATAAATAACCTAATTTCTCTTCAACAATATCATATCAACTACGAATTGATATTATTCCGTTCGGGTGTTTACGTAGTCAGATGTGCAATAGTTTGACGCGCCAAATTTTTGACCAATCGAAAACAGCTTGCTCAGCCAGCTTTGACCGGGAAAGTTTTGATCAAATATCGATCCGGGCGGCATGTTTTTTTGCGGTGATGTCAAGGAAAACCTCAGTAAAATAAATGCTTGCAAATTCTTTTGCCAGTTGTCTGGGTACTGAAAAAAAAAATGGAAATTACTTAATTAATACTAGTGTTCATAACAACGGTTTTTGAGTAGAGTTAAATGTCCTTTTCATCACTAAAATGACTGTTATAAGGTGTCTTATACAGAGGGCTTTTGTGTTTCATATAGATGTTTATATCTAGGTGACAACTCAAAGAAACCGGCGTCCCCACATTTAACGATTTCAGAGAAGGAGCACAATATACAGACGTCGTACAAGATGGGCTTTCCGGCGAAATGAGCAGGTTACTTTTTTTATCAAACTTCTTGTTTTAATACTTTAATATCTTGATGTGTGTACCGCCTCTTTCATAACGGAAACGACTTAAAGTCTTGAGGAAAAGAATCAAGTAACTAAAACGTAGCAGCTTTTATCCTAGTTTGGCTCCAACCGGGTTTCTTACTGTAGAGCACGTTACCGTAAAAAGTCAGTAAATCACCCGAGAAATGTTCTCGCGAATTAACCGGTGTCAAACTTGCTCTTCGTCTGGTCTCTAGAGGTTAAATTTCGCGAAAAACCAGATCGCAAAAAATACCCTTTTCATTTACCTTACTATAATCTTCCGTGCCTGTTGTATAAAGTTCAGTGTTAAAAACTGGCTTAGTTTTCCTAAAGTGAATTTCTCTTTCTACTTATTACAATGTTTGTATTTTATTTTGCCGCCAAAGGACAGCGATCTGTTATTCACGGTATCCTGTCGGCTCGATCTTTACTACAAGTGAGTCCGTATTGAAAGTTCGGTGCGGGAAAGCGTGTTCCGGTGTTTGCGGTTTTGTGAGTTATTCATCCAAAAAAGAAGTTCATCGTTCACCTTTTGTGACGGGAACAAGGACTGTTATTTGCTCGTATTTTTTTTCTAAGTAAACTCAGTCATTGTAAATGGCTTTTCAACTACTGATGACAAAATGCGAAACACGGGTTCGACGAATACATGCAAACCGGTTGAATTTTAACGAACTGAGTAAAGTAAACTAGGCAACAGCTTCGAAGTAAAGAATTGCTCACTGACGCCTATTTCATTGCAAGATATGACCGCGAAACAAGCATTTATTTACTCGTCACCTTCTACCAAGCTCATCTAATAACTGCCAATTTCTATTGAATGTTGTACTGTTCGAGTATTCTATGAAATGCCCCTTGATTTTTCCTTAGGTACGCAGCAGTTTTAAGGGAAGACTCCGAGTCTTCTTATACCATCCTATGTGTTGTCATAGAAGTCGCGCAATAATCCGAACCGCATTCGGCAGTAGCTAGCACTACGATTTTATCAAAAAACCACCACGTATAGAATGATCAGTGAAGAGCACCAGAGGATAGAACTGCTCCCTAGCTTATACCTCGCCTTAATGATCACAGGCGCTAAGAAAAATACTTGGATTGTTAGTTCCTGGTCAAAAAAGAACGATTGAAGCTGAACAATTCTGCTCGCGGTTTGTCAAGGGTCTTTGTAGAAAAATACCCACATGGCTTATCAAAGATAAGTATGGAATTATTCCTTAGAGAACTCTCGAAAGACGCTCGGACCGAGCGGAGATATTGAAACAACATCGCTGGGTTTTTAGGATTTGGTAGATTTTTGTGGTCTCACCGCAAATGCAGTTTTTGACGATTCGCGTTAATCAGTGTGAAGTAGCGTCGTTCACGGGTATCATAACAAGAGGAGCTCGTTAAATTTATCAGGGTGGTTTTTGATTTCAAAATATTGCGAGTTTAAAGGACTCTTTTCTCAGACGCACAAACACAGAAATATTAGTTTGTAACAACAAGAGTATCTTTTGTTTTAATGTAACAAAACCATAAATGTTTTCACTTTCTTTTAAAACACTCATTGGCAAGTCAATTTTCCTTTCCCCATTAAATCCTAATGATTATAAATATAGTATTTGGGGCGGTAGAGTTTCCTTTGTTGTACAAAATAGGAAACCGCCTACTTTGCTCAGAAAGCGAGCGGCTATTCACAACGGAAACTGATAGAACTTTCGTCTTAAAAATATTGTTCATACGTTGGCCCTCCTAGAAACATATACAAATTTGGAATTTTGTTTATTTCGTTTCCTTTTTCGTTACTGGCGAGATCTTCCCAGGGTGAATTTCTATTTTTGTCCAAATATTTGATTCCGGTTAGTTTGGATAGCTCTCAGCGATTTGTAGATAACATTTTTTTTTTTTTCTGGAGATAAGGATTCTTTTTGGCGCTATAGTAACAAACCTCCCGACGTACTGCTGATTGCTTTTGAACAGTGCCACTGATTATACAAATATACAAACATGAAACATGAAGTTATCATTCCTCGTTAATGGCGACTCAAAATAAATTTCTTATATTAATGCGGTTACTGAATATCATGATCGTACACCTGATAAAAGTGTACTTATAATAATTTAAGTTCGTTAGTAGATTAGATTTTGGAGAGGTATATTACAGTGTAATGACTCTTATGTACCATGACGTGTCATTCTTTAAGAGTCTTTCAGTTAAGTATTAATACAAATATAATTATTTTTTATTTTTATCCAGAATTAGACATGACCAGTTTTCCCGCTTGGAT